GAAGAGGAGTTATTGAATGCAATCGAAAGTCTGTTAAATAATAAGGAATTGAATGAAAAACTGATGAAAATATCGCAAAGAATACAATCGGATAATAGTATTGCAAAACTTCCCCAAATTATTGAAAAAATAGTTTTGAAAAGCATTATTTGTTGCAAATAATAGCATTTTAAACATAAATAAAATATAATTACTTCTTTCAAGCTAACATTAGTTATATTTATTTTATGTTTATTTCTATGCAACAATTTATTTTTCAATACTCCCGGTATATTGCATAAGAATATTGTTATTTGTTGTCATGATATAATCATTGGCATTAATCTAGCAAATGTTTGTTACAAACAATATATGTAATTTACAAACTGTATTTATGATTCAAAATATTTTTCATACTAAATAAATTTAGCAAATATAAAAAATAACTTAGTTTTTATTGCATTATGTGCATAATTATTACTTAAATTTTTTTACAATACTAAATATGAACATTATAAACAAAGTTAAATTGTTTATATCTAGCATATTTAATTATGGTAACAAACCAATTAAAATAGCCATAGTTGGTCTTAAACAAACTGGCAAAACACACTTGATGTTTAAGTTTAAAAAGCTTGGTTGGTATTTATGCGATATACCTGCGCCCGGTTTGGTTGTAGATATTAATAAATGTGATAATTTATTAATCAACTCGTTTAGTATTGAAAACGATGATTCCTACCATGAATTATGGCAACCATACTATGCGTTGAGTACAGCACTTGTCGTACTCGTAGACAGTTGTGATGCCTTACGTTTTCCCGACATTCAGCACGTGTTATACGACGTGCTATTAACTGATGATCATCTCCGGGACACCGCCGTTATGATTGTATGTACTAAACAAGACTTACCTGGTGCTATTTCACCAACTGTGATTAGTGGCGCGCTTGAACTTGATACTAAGTTACGTGGTCATAAATGGACATATCTAGGTATTTGTACGCATAATATGGATGATATTAATAGATTATTAAACGAGTTATGTAAGTTAGTCAATAATAATAATTAATAATTGTAGAAATATTAATGGATATAACTCAATTACTAAATGTTCTCTATGCTTTATAGTTGTAACGTATTGTTAGTATTTTTATTTAATATAATCATTGTAAAACATAAACATTATAATTTACCTGTATTTGCAGAATATTGTAAATGTGTATAAATTATATCACGTAAAGTAAGTACTTATACCTGTATACCAGAAATTCACATTAATCACATAAGTTTTATACAAATAACGATGATAAAATATATTCACATTAAAAACATCACGTCTGTTTAAACAAAACATTTAGTTAAAATACATAATAGTAAAGCATGGTGAAAAATTGTAACGTATTTCTTATCAATTAAATATAACAATATGTGATAATTATATAAGTGGTGGCAATAATGTCTATTTAATTTATACTCTTGTTTTGATTAAAAGGTTGTCTAAAGACCATGTTCAAATAACATTTAACGAACTTGAAAAATATTATTATTAAACACAGATCAGTATTTATTTTAGCGAGTTTAATTACAAAATTATAAGTTGTAATTAAAATTGTAAGTGAAATTGTAATTAAAATTGTAAGTTTATTAATATAAATATATTTTCAAAATGAACGTTAATAAAATAATGTAACAATAATAATGTTATAAATGATTTGAATTAACAGATGTTAATTACACATAATGTAATTTGACTACACGTTGGTTTCTGTACTAACATGTTAAATAATTTTAATACAATTTAGCGTAAATGTGTAACAATTTTGCAAAATCATCATCAGTAAATAACATTTTATTTGAAAATGTGAAGGCCGTATATAATTAACACATATTTGACTCATTATGGGTAATATACTAACAAACACATACAGCCGACTATTTACCGGTAAACAGTACTCAATAATAATGGTTGGACCGACTGGTGGGGGTAAGACCACCATCATATACAGACTAAAAACCGGGTCATTTTACCTAACCATACCCACCATTGGCTTCAATGTAGACTCTATTGACTACAAAAAAACGCACGTTTAATATATGGGACTTTGGGGGTCAACACGTGTATAAAATGCGGTCCCAATGGCCCATATATTTCCAAAACGCTCGGGCACTAGTGCTGGTGGTGGACGGGACGGACACCGGGCGAGTGGCCGACGCCAGGCAACTGCTGTACGACGCCCTCCGGGAGTGTGGCCGACACGTCCGAGTGCTGGTGTTGACCAACAAGTGTGATGTCAGCACTTGTATGAGCTCTGATGAGTTGGTCAACGCACTGGCACTTCCCTCACTGAC